TCATATCTACAAATAAGAAATATCTAGTGAGTGAATAAATAATAGAGAATGTTCTCAGCCACAAACAATTACCTTACAAGTCAACTCAAATAGCACCTATTTGCTGGATGAAAAGAACCTGAAAACAGAGGTGAGGAATAAATAATTGACACAAAATGTGAACATATTATAATAGCATATGCTTTTGTTCATATATGGAACCAAGAGACAGAATTAGCATACATACATCTGCCCCCTCATTTGTACACTAAGTAATGCATATCTTGCTTATTTTTTTCTGAAGCCTGAATGGGAAGTGTGTTTTTAACAGATTTAATCAATACGCCAACCTACATTAAGAAAATAAATAAACCCACACAATAAATAAAAAGCAAAAGGCCAATCAATAGCCAACAGTGCAGCTTAACAGCCACTCCAGTAGAAAACTGTCTGAAAAGGTGCTTCACACTCCACTATCTGCACAATCCACAGCTGCTTGCTATTGATTTGTTGCAAGCAAAGAACATCTATTATCACATGCCAGTGTGAGCCCAGCAATTTCTCCAACACGTAGCCTGCAATGCACTACTAGCAATGTAGCACAGGATAGCTGTCTGCTGATGGTGGTCCAAGGACCCACATCCTCATTCAACAAAGCCAAAATCAACACTGGACTCATAAACACAGAAACCTGACATGTGTTAAGCATTCATGTGCCATCGGCCGATCCTGTAGACATGTGCTTCTCCCAAACACAAAAGCAATAATGAGATCAGCAAATTATAGGCAACTCAGAGCAGTTGTCATGAATAGTTTAGGATAAGCTCTCTTATTGGATCATTATGTGTTGTTTAAAACTCATATTTTCACAAAGTCCCTAAAAAAGGATAACACTTTGGGTATGTGTGGATGCAAGCAGCACGGTAGGATTTTGTGCAATACTTTTCAATACTGTGGAAAGAAGAACTCAACAACAGGCTGCCAGTGAGAGTGGCATTGTCACACAGCATGGAAAAGAGATTCTTGGCTTCTTCTGATGGTGGGTACCATAATATGGAATTTCTACAGTTCTCAGTCCCGGTTTAAAATACCAATAAGAATCTGATATCCAGAAAGAATATCCTCATAATAACTCTTGTCAAGTTCCATTTGTTTTGTTGTTCTTCAAAGGTAGTCCCCACACACACACCATTAGGTTGGCTTTCAGGTAGTGCTCACCCACTGAGATGCTAGACCCTTTGTTCTGAATTTTTCAGAAGAACTGAAAATTACCATTGGAGAATGTAACTTACGTGTCCTTCCATAGATGTTATTGGGACCTATGTTAACTCAAAATTGCCTCTGGGATGATGAAGTCCATGGTAGTATCAAGACACCCCTAAAAGTTAACCTCATGAAAAAGAAACTCCTCATGGTTTTGCCATTACATAAAAGGGTGGACAGTCATATCTAAAATATGTAAAGCTATTAGTAAGTCAATTATACTTAGGTTTCTAATCAGGTGATATTTATTTTCTAACCCACACAAGTGAGTCACTGTTACACAAAGTGACCGGCTCCCAGGAATATGTGTCACACCTTCAAAACCATCACAGCTTCATAAGGGTGAACTTGAAATCCACCTGGCAGCATCCATCAACCCAACCTACTCACACAAAGAATGATAGAATAAAATGGAATGAAGAGAAGTCATCTGTGGTTTACTCATACTAAATGAAATGAAGTCTTAAAAGATACCTGCTTCTTCTGGAGACACCATCTATGGGATAGCATCTTAAAATTATCAAGCAAACTCTAGATTTGATAAGCAAGAAAAAAGCAAAGGTCACGAGTGATCAAACCAACACCAGAGTAAGTGAGGGAGACTCTAAAATGCCCACACACTTCTTCAGAGTCTTACAAGTTACATCAGGTGCAATTAACATTTTTTTTTTTACACATGATGAAATAAATACCTATTTTAAAAATACAAAACCTAGTCATTTCCCTATTGGACAAGTTTCTATTCTTGGATGCGCAGTAATAAACTGACATGTTTTCATTTCCTTTATTTGAGAGTCAGTCTGCTTCCCTGAGAAATGGCTTCATAGATAATGAGAGATTCAAAACTTTTTTTACAAAAAATGTCTTTGCCATTAGATTTCATCTTAACCAATTCAGATGGTCTTATGACATTTTATTAAATCCTTCTTATTTTAGATATATGCAATGTTCTCCAAATATTTCTTTTCAAGAATGAAGTCAAGACCAGATTCCATTGATGGCATTCTGCTTACTATGTCAGACGTGTGTTATTTAGTAAAAGGAAAACCACTTAAGGCATGTAGGGTACCAAAGCAATCATTAGTGGGCTCTATGGCACTACTTTCACATAAGAGTCAGTCCCTGACCCTCTCTATTGAGGATCCTTTCTCCTTGCTCCCTGTTCCCTTCCATGAACTGATTTCATCCCTTCTCCTTTATATGTAATTACCCTTATGCTTTTTCTAATGCTAAGCATGAGCCTGTTCAACTCTGCTAATGATGCTGAAGATTAATACTTGATCCCTTATGCAGACTAAACTACCAAGGACTTATTAGTATAGTTGAATGCACAGAATATCAGAGAAGTAACTTTATTTTGAAGATATGTGTGAGATGAAATATCAAGTTATAATGCTAAGGGTCAATATAGAAAATAATAATCTATGATGTAAAGTCGTGAGACTGATATTCTATGTGGAATGAAATGGCTTTGATGCTAGTTCCCAAGGAGAAGCTCCCTCCAAATACCTTGAATGCCAGTCATATATAGGGATCAGCCATTGTAACAATTTTAAATAGCCTATCATTTAAGTATATCTAGTTGATTTTTGTTAAAAATTCATATCTGAACTTGATAGTCACTTCCTACATATCTGAATTCTATAAATTTATTACATTCTAGAAATTAAAATGTACATCCTTCATTTCAGTGATCACCATCCAATAACAAAAGCCCTGGAATACTCTCCAGGAGAGGATCAAGTAAGCAGATTCTGATAGCATTTTGTGCTGTTACAAAACAAAAGACCTGTCTACATTGCTTAGAGAATAAAGTCCAAAATGCATTGCTCTAAGCCTGGATATCTGATATTTTTGAAGCATGAGAAGCTAGTGTCACAAAGGAAAGCTGACATTTTTCCAATCCTCATCCAAGTACTTCATTTTATACCAAAAAATTGCCAGAGTCAGATAATGCAGTAGTCCACATCCTCAATGGAGACACAATCTGCTCTTGACAAAAATCAGAAGTAATCATTGAAAGCTGGGAAGAACACTGGTCAAATTTTACCAGATAACACCTGGCTCTGAGTGACAGAGGAGCTTGTCAATAATAGAAAAATACATACTTACCTTCTGAAGATTGTGCACATTTGCTGCAGTTGGTGACTTACCTTTTTGCCTTTTTTGTGTGCAGAGTCTCTTCCTGACCATTTTTTACCCACAATGGGGTGTGTGTGTGATAAGGAACAACCTTGTGAGGATAAAGAAGTATTATGTCACCAGTTAGAGGGAAAATGCCTTCCTAGTAAGTCTCATGGAGGGAAAGGAAAGAGCGTATAGCATGAGTCCCCAGGTAACCTGGATTGGTCCATAATTGCCTGTCTTAGAGTGGAACAGTATTTCTGCATCATAAATATGGAAACAAGATTTTCAGTAACACCAAGCTCCTTGGCAAGAGCAATCTGATGCCAACCCCTTCTGCGGGCATTGTACCATTTGCATGACAGATATGGAGGCATATGCTTATATTTAGATGAATGGGTATCACATAGTTTTCTTTCTAGACTGCCAGTTTCCCCATTTGTTCCTTTTTAATGTATCTTTGTATCTTAAGAGAATGAAAGAACATATGGAGTGAAAAACTACTGAGGAAAATGGAAACAAGAACTACAAGAGACACCTACACACATACAAAAAAAAAGTTGAGAAATAAAGATCAAGGAAAAAAATACACATGAGAGACATAGCATTGTAATTGGCACTTGCTCCCATGTGGACACACTATTCTCTAACTTCCTTACTTGCTCTAATAACATCATGCAGCCTTTTTACAAAATGAAGAAGTCAAATGAATTTGGATTGAAAGACAAAATATCTACCATGAAGACTGCATTTAGAAAATCAGCAGGACCCAGGACTCTTCAACAAATTGTGTTTGCTTGTCTTTAAAATAACCATGATAGGAAAATAATATGAGAAGGAAATAGAGACTCAGGTTATAGATTCCCACAGCACTGAAGTCTCTCCATCATCAGAGCTAGAATCACCCCCATGAAATCAATCCTCTCAAGACTAAATCAACAGATGCACCCAAAGCATCACTAATGTGCAGGAATAATCATCACCAGACTCTCTTCCACAAATACACAGGTAAATACCTGGAACACACTCACAAATAGAAATACAAACAGAATAGCAATGTATATATAAACAAAGATACCAATAAGTTTAGCTAGTAGAAATTTCTGTCTTACATCTGAAAGACACTCCCAAAATGCTATCAAAGTTTCTAAATTGAGGGAAAAAAAAAAAAAAAAAAAAACCTCTGTAAGTCTTCTTCATTTGGGAGGCCTTAAGAAGTCCTCTAACTTAAGAATTTTTGAGAAAACAACTATCATTCTTAAATATCCTCCAAATTCTAGGCAATGCAAATGGAGAGGGTCTCAAAAATGTTATCCAGATGACTTAATTCATGGAGATTTGAACCCCTTACATAACCATTTGCCCTGAATTGTTCCTTTGCTTCTCAGTCACAAGTATTGAAACCTAAAGGGAAAGCAGAGGGGAAGAATACAGGAGAACAGCCAGCATTGAGCAAGAAATGTCTCCTTTGCTCTTCCCATGAGAACAGTTGTTGTTCGTTTTTCACGTTTCTAGAGGAGAGAATTATTTATGAGTCCTTTAGAAAAGCTGTCTCTTTATGCATTGTCTCTTAAGGTTTCTCCAAACCTCTGAACCTCTTGAAAAATTTCCCAGTAAGAAAAGACTGTACTCACGATCATTGCACTGGTTTCCAGAATAGGACGTCATGGAGCAGTCGCAGGTGAAGCCTTCCCACTGCTGCATGCAAACCCCCTGGTTGGCACAGGAATCTTCCTGGCAGGTGGTACTGGGTCCTAGCAATGCACAAGAAGAGGAGGAAGGGAGAAGAGAGAGAAGCAACATTAAACGTTAGTCAAATTCCAAAGAACTCACCTGAACTTACCATTCTCATGCCCCCCAAACATTCAAAATCACAACCACCAAAACTGTCAACTGAATTACATGCAACAAGAATTTGGTATATACGAAAGATGACAGAAATACACACTTAGCCACAAACTATCAACAATTACACATAGAAGGGAGAGGGCTGAACACACTGTTCTCCGTTAGGCAGACTTTGCAAAAGAGCTTCATCTCTACCATTCAACTCAAAAGATGTCTCTCTTAGAGCATGGTCTTTCTTTATGCATAATGCTGAGGTGGAAAAAAATGCATTTTCATAATTGTAGTGAAAAAAGGCACAACATTTCTATCCTGCAACTCAAAGTCCCTAACTCTACTTAGTGGCATTAGAAAGGTGTTCATGATGATGATAATGATAATGAGGAGGAGGAAAAGGAGGAGAGAGAACCTAACGCAGCTTGTTGTTTTGTAGGTGATCTGCACTGAGTGCTAGGCAATTTATCTACATTACCTCATTAAGATCTCTAGTGACTCTAAGAGGAGTATAATTATGATTGCCTTAATTTTACAGATTTAAAAAAAAACAAATTCAGAGAGAAAATAATTTTCCCAAGGCCACATATTTTTTCAAGAATGCTGCTGTCTGTCCAACTTAGGAAACTGACTTTGAGACCAAACTCTTAACTACACAGTGGTTCTCAAAATTTAGTCCTCAGGACACCATCACCTGGGAATTTGTTAGAAATGCAAGTTCTTGGGCCCCTTCCCTGTTGAATTAGAAACTTTTGGGGCAGAGACAGAAAACTGTTTTCATAAGCTTCCAGGAAATTCTGAACACAGCCTAAAGTTTGAGAACCATTATACTACTCCATGCTGCTACTTTGGTATTTGAGAAGTGTGTCCTCTTAAATGGAGTGTGCATTCACCAGAGGATGCAAAAGAGAATCATTTGCATATAGGAATAAAATATTAAATATTGTGCTAATTTTCAATTCTTTATTATTTCAATTTCTGTGTCTTTTGCATGTTAATAATGTATAAGCATAATAGTACATATGCATAACTTATAAATAAATATACTTATTCTGGAAGCATTCTGTGAATCTTACTGATGGGAGAAAAAAAAAGTTTTGGCTTTCTCTACCCTGTAGATTGCCATTAAAATCCCCCTTAGGTCCATCTGGCACCTCTCTTCAATCACTCTCTCTTTTTAAATACCAATTTCTGCTTTAACCTTGGGATTAAAAATAAACCTATTCCTTTGGAAATATCTGCCCTAATCGGAAATATCTTAATATGTGGGATAACTCCGTGGATTTCCCAGAAAGCCTCAGCCAAGGAGGTGAGCCCCTTGACTCATCAAATGTATTAGTCAGGAACTAATACATAAAAGCACTTAGCAGAGTTTATATATATATATATATATATATATATATATATATATATATATCCATTGCAATAACTGCATAGTTGGTAATCTTCAAGCTAAGCCTTGCACAGGGACAGAATATTAAAACATAATCATGTGGGATCCTAAGGATGCATGCTCAAAAGAGATATAGGACTACAAAGGGTTCACCTTCTGGGTGGCAAAACATTTTGTATTTATTCATGAAGGGTGGACGCTGTATAGGCCATCAGTCAGAAGACAAAGCTATTAGGATATGACATAAGAAAGTTCAGGACAATTACTACCACTAGGGGAACAGCACTGCTGCTGGGTTTCTGCAGCTTCTATTTGCCATGTGGTTCCCCCATGTCGAGATGAAAGGAAGAACACGGTCATGTTCTCAGTGGGCCTTAAACTCAAGCATTGTGTCATACAAGTTTCATTAACAATGGCAAATCAGGACAGCTTCTTTCAAAGGATAAAAGCTTCTGAGAAGTCCACAGGGCTCCCTGACCAAACAGCTCTCACCAGACAATGGACTGGTAATTCAATTGTACTCAAGAACTAGAAACACATGGAAAACTTTCCCTTGAAAGGCAGCAGAGTAGCGAAAACTTCAGGGAGGCACAGCAATTCTTTGCATGTTGATTGAAGACAAAGGCTTTTCCAAACCTCTTCCCTCCCCTCTAACTGCCATATTTGAACCATTTTCCAAGAACCAGCCTAAGCACCTGCCCCAGAAAAAAACATTCCCAAGTAACTTCAAACTTCCCCTTCTTAATGGTCACAGCACTTATTATCTGCATCATTAAGTTTTGCATATGATAATGTTCAATTTAGCCCTTTATTACACATTGCACCATCCTCTGCTTATATAATCCTCTAATTGTTTCATGTTCTTACTGTTTATCACCCAAAGTTTGCAGTTTGCTCTTAGAAATCATGTAATATGCTTTGCTCAGTTCTTTCTGCACTAAGTAAACTGCAGAATCAGAGTTAAGTGTTTCAGTTCATGTGGGGCTGATCAGAACTGTAGCCATCCCTGGTAGCCCTTATGTCATACTTCCAAAACCTAAATGTAGGAGCTGAAGCAAGTCTTTATCATTTGTCAGAGATTGGTCAGAAATCAAATATAGAGGGAATGATAGGTCATTTCCAAATTCCTCCAAATTTGTTCCTCAGATGTACTCAGGGGTGGACAACATAGAGATTCAGACAATCGTCCAAGACTGACTGTACTGTAACCACCCAAGAACAAGAAGGATATCATGGGGATGATCAGGACCTTCAATGACTTCTTGTCATTCTGGGATTAACCACATACCTCTTTGAAGTTTGTGGTCACAGGCCCCTGCCTTGCTTGTTACTACCTGCCCCCAGCTCACAGCACACTGCCAACCCTTTCTCATTTTGGTTCCTCTCTAGCACATTGGTACTCAGGGGTTACCACATCTACATCACCTGGAAGCTTGTGACAAGAGCACATGTTCAGGCCCCTCCCAGGCCTCCTGACTGAGGCTGGGATTAGAAATCTGAGTTGCAACAAAGGCCTCCAGTTGGTGGGGCACATGCTACATCCCAGGACCAACCACCTCTCCATCACTTAGAGCCCATCCCTGTCTTCAAGTTGCATTGCTCTTGCCAGACCCATGACCTTAAATATCCATCCTCCAGATTTCCAAATGACTAGTTCACTCTTATTCTTCAAGTTTCAGCTTTCTTAAATTATTCTATTAAAGAAGTCCCCACTAGTATTATTTACTCTTTGTCATGTTTTCCTATTTAATTCATAACAATTATAATTAAATTTATTATTTTATTAATTATATGAATTATAATTAAATTTATTATTTTTGCTAATTGACAAACCAAAATTATTTGTATCTATGAGGTACAATGTGATGTTTTGATATATGTTAACAATACCAATTATATCAATTATGATATATATTTATAATCAGTTATGTGGACTGATTAATTCAAGCTAACCAACAACTTTATCAACTCAAATACATGTTATTTATTTGTGGTAAAAATATTTAAAAGACACTTTTTTAGTGATTTTAAAATACACAAAGCATTATAAATTATTGTAGTCACCAATCTGTGCAATAGATCACTAAATCTTAGTTTTCTTGCCTGAAATTTTACATCCTATGATCAACATCTACCTTTTCCCCTTCTACCCAGCCTCTGTCAAATATCAATCTATTCTATTCTATTTCTACAAATTCATTTTTTTGGTGACAGTCCCAGAGTCTCACACTTTTTAAAAGGCAGGCTGGTATTCCACTGTGTATACATACTACATTTTCTCTCTCCATTAATCAAATGATGACACCTAGGTTGCTTCCATTTCTTAGGTATTGTAAATAATGCTGCAATGAATATGAGGATGCAGATGTCTCTTTGCCATAAGGAATTCCTTTGGAAATATACCCAGTAGTGAGATCGCTTGATCATATAGCAATTCTATTTTCAGTTTTCTAAGGAACTTCCCCACTGTTTTCCATATTGGCTGCACTCACTTACATCCTCAACAACATTTTATAAGGGTTCCCTTTTCTTCACCCTCTTGCCAACACTTCTCTTTTAGTTTAGGATCACAGACATTGCAATGGGATGAGATGGTATCTCCTTGTGGTTTTAGTTTGATTTCTGTGACGATTACTGATGATAAACATTTTTTATTTATCTGTCGACCATTTTCATGTCTTGTTTTGAGGACTTCTAATTAGGTATTTTGCCCATTTTTTGGTTGTGTTCTTTATTTTTGTTTTCTTTTTAATTGGTTGAATTCCTTATTTATTTTGAATATTAGCCCCTTATCTGAGGTATGTTTTGCAGTTATTCAGTTGGTCGTCTGTTCACTCTATTTACTGCTTCCTTTCCTATGCAGAAGCTTCTTGGTTTGGTGCAATCCCATTGGTTAATTTTTGCTTTTGTTGCCTGTGCTTTTGGAGTCATATCCAAGAAACATTTGCCCAGACAAATGCTATGAAGCACTTTACCCTTGTTTTCTTCTAGTACTTTTATAGTTTCAGGTCTTAGGCTCAAAACTTCAGTCAATTTAGAGTACATTTTTATATATGGTGTAAGAATCCAACTTTATTCTTTCTTCCCCTCTTGGCTGTCCAGTTTCACTAACACTATTTATTGAAAAGACTATCATTTCTCCATTGTGTGTTCTTGGAACTTTTGTCAAAAAGCAATTGACCATAAATTCATGGGCTTATTTCTGGGCTCTTTATGCTATTCCATTAGTCAGTATGTCTGCTTTATTCCAGTAACATTAAATTCCTTCTGTCACATCCTAGTGGAATGTGAGCCTCTGGAAGGGTGAAGTCTTATCTGTCTTGTTCACCTTTATATCTCTAATTTCTAACATAATATTTGATATAGGGTGAGGGCTCAGAGATACAACTGTATGAATGAATGGATACAAGAAACAAAGGAAGGAACAGAAAGAGGGAGGGAAAAATGAAAAATGTCTTTTTCTTTTCTTATAAGACTCAAAGCAGAGTGAGTTGCCTAACAATTTACCCCTTTATTTATCAA